GTTCCCTCATCAGCCTGGGGCAGACTGTCTATCAACCTGACAAGTCATATGAGTGTCTGTCTATCTTTTCTACTCATGAGCATTACTACATGAGCACGGCAATCGATATTAAGGATGGCTGGAGGATTAGTATTGGTCTGATATTGGTCAGAATTTCTGGATCGAACATCGTCCCATCCTGTAGCTAAGCCAAAATACTCAACTTTGTGTGACATGCCGTAATCCGACACTATCGCCTCGGCAATGACAGCCAGTAGCGTGCTGAAGGGGAGAAAGACGGTATTGTACTGATATCAGTATCTGCACTGAAGTTGCAGTATAGGTATTGGACTTGCCCGGGGGCAACTGGTAGCCCCTGTGGAAAGTTGCCTGTGGGGTATGTTCTAAAAATAAAACTAGTCTCCATAGGGTCAACAATTGTGCTGTTACTGTTCTTTTTGGATCAGTTACTTTTGATATGATATTGAATCGGGTACAATTACAATGGTGTGAAGATTGTCTACTATTGCATGTCCCTGGCGCTTTGGCCCAGAGGTGATGTCTCTTTCATTGGTGTAGAACCCCAGGGTTCACCTCCTGGGCAAGATCGAATCCCGGTTAGGGTGGTTGGTACCTTCCAGTGGACTCACCACCCACAGGAAGGTTCAGGGGGGTTGGTACGGTGCAGTGTGATTTGGATGGCGGTCATGGAGACTGCTGCCCCCAATACCCGATAAGTGGATGAATGCATGGATGGATGGATGGAATAATAATACATTTTATTTCATAGGCGCCTTTGTGTCACCCAATGACACCTTACAGTAAATACAAATAATTATGTTCATTGGGTTATCTTCAACTACAGTATCTCCTCCAATTTTGTTGATCAACCTGTTTCCACTTTGCTCTCTACCACCCATGCCCATGAAAACACAAATTTGGTTTAAATTGTACTAGCTTATTTTTATCGCTTGTTTGCATCTGCAAAAAAAAGTTTTTCCGTATTGCTCGTTCCACGTCGGAAGCAAAAGAGATGATTAAGACAAAGTGTTAACGTCTAAAAGTCAAAGAAAATCACGATGATCGTGTTCGTGTTTGTGTATTCATAACCAACACATAGTGGTGGAAAAAAGTCAAACACAAGCATAAAAAATTGCCAAAAATATATTTATTTATATCCCTGCAATGGCCACCATTTTTCTTCAAGTGTGTGATGTGCCCAGCCCCCGACAGAAGCCCCTGCCTCAGCCCCAGTGTGTGATGTGCCCAGCCCCCGACAGTAGCCCCTGCCTCAGCCCCCGGTCAATACTCCATAGGGAGAAAAGGGAACTGTTTTTACCGTGACATAGAATCACAGAAAGAAGCTTGAAAGGAGGAGGACGTGTAGCTTAACAGAAATTTCAAGGGTGGGGGGTGGGATTGCTCACTCCACCACAGTGGGTGGGATTTGGAAACAGGCAGTGACAAATAAACAGCCACAACTGGGTCACATGACTACTGTAGTTATCAGGGGGAGAGAGAGAGAGAGAGAGAGCGAGAGAGATGCAGAAAGCCAGCTCACTCCCACCGTACATCTGAATTCACAGCAGACACAACACCTGAGTGGGTGAAAAGCAGGAACAACAGCTTAAGCTGGTCAACAAAGAAGAGGAGGGGGGACCAAGTGTGGACGGCTGCATTTACAAAAAAAAAAAAAAAAAAACAACAACAACCTGAGACTGAGACAAAGGTTTAGACAAAGAAAAGGACAAAATAGAATAGAAAGGGGGGGAGACAGCATGTCTTCTTTTTCAGGCCAGCAGCCGGGCTCTCCTTTCTCAGAGTACGGGGATTTGTATAACCCAGCGTCCCTGCCACCCACAGTGCTGGATCAGACCTGGAAGTGGCAGCAGCCGCCAGACATGGGTGCCCCCAGGGGTCTCGTGGTAGCTGACAAACCTTCAGCTCAAAGTAGACTCACAGATGAAGACAAGCTTTGCCTTTTTGAGCATGCGAGCAGAGGTGCTCCGGACGGAGAGCCAAAGGTGCCAGGGAGTGTTGGGGGTGTTCCAGGAAGCGACTCAATGGGGAATACTTCATTGGGCAGTACAGGTGAAAGCCCAGATAGTCCTTTGTCTTCCTCCCCATTCCCTTCTCCAGCTTCTCCAGGTCGGCTACCCTCAGCCCTGGGATGTGAAGGCGGCAGCAGGGTCTCTCTGCCAACAGGTCCTGGATCACGAGAAAGAGATGTAGCACTGTTATCGCCAGCTAGCGGTTTGACCTCGCCCTCACTGGGGGCCTCACTAATGGAGGCATCGCCAGTAGAAGACGTTCCGGCTGAACAATACAGGGCCTCACTAATGGAGGCATCGCCAGTGGAAGAAGGCTCCAGTTTTACTGAACCCAGCCCAAAAATTGCCATGCCCCAAGTGGCACCTAACTACTGCGCCTTGGGAATCACAAGTGACAACGACATGAAAACAAATGATGACAATGTGGGCGGAGCCATGGGCTCTCACCAGTTATCAGACACCTCGAAGGACAATAGCGATGAAGAGGAGATAGGTGAAGAGGACGATTTGAAGCCTTGTTTCATGGGACGGGCTCAGCAGCAGAGGAAGGCCATGAGAAGAGCGATGTCAGAGTGTACCCACCTTTCAGTACCAACCAGTCCGGATTTGCCCGATAAATACCCAGGGTCAGATGCAGCAGGAC